ATATATATATTCAATTATAGAGGATTAAATGAGTCAATACGACTCACTTAAGCTCAAATTTGTTTGGCTTACAGGTTAAGTGAGATGGGTTAATATTTAGCAAAAATTGGTACAAATTTTATTTTCTAACCCAGCCTATACTTGTGGTGAGTTGGGTTGGCCCACTAGATTAGAGCTCGCTTTTACACCTTTAGGTAAGATAGCAATGTTGTTTCGTCTTACTATCAAGACGTGATACATACAAGTAATTAAAGAACTCATTAACTGAAAGAATGAGTGTAATTTTACAATGTATTATTCGTGATAGTTCTCTTTGTTCTTTTTGAAATATAAGACTTCTTTATATTTTTTTTTGGTTCGTCCTTGGAGTATCCACCGCCGATAGCAGTGACTAATCTCCTCGCTACGTTGGAGGCACCTCAAAGGGTGGGATAGCTGGCCCCAAGATTTAACGCGGCTGCATACACAAGGCAGGATTTGAACCCTTGACCTTTCTTTAGCGTGGATCAACCCCTACTGCTGAAACACACGCTTGGGGTTATAAGACTTCTTTATATAAGTACTTCTTGAAGATGATCATTGCAATCCCTAAGCATCTTTCATAGGTTTGCTTCGCCTATATTTATCTTCATTCCTTGTCGGGAAAAGTGTTTATTGGGGCATAAAATGTGTTTCATCAAATTGTTGCTTCTTATCTAATTAAGGAAATTACATATCACTTTTTAGGTATCAAATAAGTAGAGGCATGCATGTGTCATGTCAAAATGATTTTTTAGGATTTTCATGATTTATGGGATCTATTTGGCCTTTTTTAACACAAATAATGTTTTTCGTTCCTTTCGTTATTTGTGAGTATTGAAGAAGGTTTTTTTTACTTTGATCTGTTGAGGAATTATGTGAACAAAGATTACTTTCATTTAGATATTATAAAAGATATGATTCAATAAATGTCTTATAAATGAAGTGTTTCATTTGTTAGGCTTAATATTTAAATAACTATTCCTCTTACTACTTGTTCAGAAAACTTTTCTCTAGAAAAATATTTATATTTGTTATTATTAAAACTCAAAAGTTTGAGGTGTTTAAAATTATCTTTTAACCTAACAAACATTATGTGATATAATAACATATGTCACCATAAAATCGTTACTTGTGTAAGTATTCTTATTTTAACCACAAAAATGCGAACGAAAGTCTTTGATTTAAGGTCAATAAAAATGAGTTGATATTAGATGATTTAAGATAAATATAATTACAAAATGGTGGGGAATAGTGTTGATGAAAAGAAAGAAAAGAAAATAGAGAAGGGAGATAAGAAAGAGGAAGAAGAAATCAGAAAGAGTTCATAAAAACTAAAATATAAAAAAGAGTTAATCACCTATACACACGACCAGTGTAAATTTTTTTTACACTGACAACTAATTATATCTTTTAATTGTGCCATGTCACTGTTAAAAATAAATGTATTTATAGTGACATGGCACAATTAAAAGATATAATTGGTTACCAGTGTAAATTTTTTTTACACTGACAGTGTATAGGTGATTAACTCTATAAAAAATGTGTGAATAAGAATCAAAATGAGTAATTTCCTAAATATAAAAAGTAAAAAAATTTAAATATGTTTTTAATTTTTTAAATTTAAAGTAAATTTATTTTTAATTCCTTAAATTTAAAATTATTCTTTTAAATTCTATAATTTTAAAAAATATTATTTTAATTCTTATATTCAAATTTTTTAAAAAAATTTGTCAAATATTTTCATACAAAATTTATTTATTAATATCTTTATTAATGAAAATGTTCATGTGAAAATATTGCTATTGACAACCACCATCACCTCGTGACGTTTGGGTCAAGTCTATTGTTATCGGTAACCATCACCACCTTATAAGACACACCTATAAATGTATTACGACCGTGAAATCCTAACTTCTTAAAAATAGGTTTTTTTTTATAATAATTTTAAATATTTTAAATAAATAAACAAAATTACTATTTACTTATTTAGCAATAGACAACTTGTCGTTCATAATCACCACCGCATGTACCACCTTAGCCTATTCTTTCGTGATTCTGCCTCTGCCATGTCGATACTATCCGTTTGAATTACTTTTCTAAAGTAATCATAAAACAAAAAGAAATTATCCTTTTATTTATGGTTGGTTAGAATTTAACCAGTCAAATCACTAGTTAGTGCATTATTAAGGCGACATTAGATAATAGGTCCTAATCAATAAAAAAATTATAAAAAAAAATAATAGCTCCTAATCTCTATATTTGATCTCCTATAATCATTTTTTTTTCATATGTATAGGACACAGTCACATAAGGATGGAACGCTTAATAAACATAATTATATATCAGAAGATAGTAAATGTATGAAAACATGTTTTCCCAAAATTTTTCTGATATCCATATGTCAAGATTTAATAAAAGTAAGGTGAGAAAGAATTAACGAGTCAAATCAGTACTTGGTGCATTTCATCCAAATAATTATTGAACCAAACAAAACTACACTACTGTTTTCAATAATATATATCTTCATGATAATTGTTTCTTAATTGTTAAATAAAGTAAAGTTAAAAATTTTCAACCGACAAATAAACAGCAGAGTTGCAGAATCCAGAAGCAACATGATAAATACTAGAGCATGTAGGATTTCTGAGACAGTTGTTCAGTTAATTAGCTCCGAAGCATTTTTGTTGTGTCATGATTAATCATACCAACAAAATGAAAATGCTAGAGAGGCAACTAAGTGTTGTGATGACACTGCTTTGTTGTGTTCATTTTCATGTCCAAAGTTCTAATCATGTTGAAGATGGAATCAGAAGATCTCACTTCCCTGAAGGGTTCTTATTCGGAACGGCCACTTCCTCTTACCAGGTACTTGATGACATTTTCTTTCTCTGCTTTCAAAAACATAGGAGTTACTTTAACTTTTTCCGTGAAATTTATCATATTTCCCACTTTTCTTTTTCTGAATTATTTAAAATTTGTTGTTTCTATAATGGGATTCTTTTTTTATATATATTTTTTCCCCTTAAAACAAAGATTGAAGGAGCACCTCTTGAAGATGGTAAAGGTTCAAGTAACTGGGATGCTTTTAGTCACACCCCAGGTGAATGATTTTCTAGAGTTATAGAATCATAATGATGAACTATGAATAATCACTATGAAAGTTGATCTGTTTTCAGGTAAGATAGAAAATGATGAGAATGGTGACATTGCAGATGATCATTATCATCGCTATTTGGTAAATATCATCTTCATATTTTACTTGCCTTCATTATATTCTGACTAGTCTCATTGACTCAACTTTTGTACTTGACATTCCATAGGAAGACATTGAATTGATGTCTTCTCTCGGTGTAAATGTATATCGGTTTTCTATTTCGTGGACGAGGATCCTACCAAGTATGTGTTTCAAATTTACATAGTATTTCTCATAATCTTATTCTTACCTTTCAAATTTTCTGCTTAATTTGATTTTCTTGAACTGTAACAGGAGGGATATATGGGGACATAAATCCAAGTGGAATAATGTTCTACAACAAGATTATAGACAATCTGCTGCTTAGAGGTGTGAAGTTGCAATGTCAATGTCCACATGATTCTTTATATGAGATAATGCTCTTTTCCTTGACTTGAGACATAAGAAATAACTCTCCTAAAAGTAAAAACTAAAGCTGTTAAGCAAAATTTCATAAATAGTTTAATATTTATATTTATACCAGCATGACATTGTCCAAACCTGAACCTGAATCATGAACATGGTGTGCTTATACCAGGGATTGAGCCATTTGTGACAATTCATCACCATGATTTGCCACTAGAACTGGGAAAAAGATATGGTGGTTGGACTAGTCCCCTAATACAGTAAATCCGCAACTCTCACTTTTGTTTACTTCTGAATTCTGATATATAATGCTAAAGAATTTGGAAGCTGATGCATTCTCCTGCATGATCATATAGTTAAAAATTTAAGCTAAGAGAACAGTGAAACTTTCATAACTGTATGATACCTTTGTTGTAGGAGAGATTTTGTTCATTTTGCTGAAATTTGTTTTAAGAGCTTTGGAGACAGGGTTAAGTACTGGACTACCATCAATGAGCCTAGCCTGGTTGTAGACTTGGCTTATATGAGAGGAATATTTCCCCCTGGTCACTGTTCACCACCTTTTGGAAATTGTTATACTGGTAACTCTGATGTTGAGCCTCTCATTGTCATGCACAATATGTTACTGTCACATGCCAAGGCTGTTGAGTTATACCGCAAGCACTTTCAGGTAACAAAACATGTTCTAAAGCAGCATTTGTTGTCTCATTTTCTATGTTAGGGGAAAGACTATAGAGGATTAAAGGTCAAGATGAGAGTTTAATTAGTGGACCACTCCTGCTAATCCAGGCAAAGCAAGGTGGAAGTATTGGCATTGTTGCACATGCCTTCATGTATGAACCACTTAGAGATGAAGAATGTGATAGACAAGCTGTGAATAGGGCCTTGGCTTTTGTCATAGCCTGGTAAGTTGTTAAGGAGTGTCATTTGATACATGCAAGGCTGCAACATAAAGAAGAGTTTTACTCATGACAATCATGCCTAAATAAACTGTTGTGTACATTATTGATGAAAATAAATTAGAAGCACATGATCCTTTTAATTTTTTTAAAAACTTTTTTCTGCTTTTTTTATGACAAGAAGGGTCTTAGATCCCTTGGTTTTTGGAGAGTACCCTGATGAGATGCACTCTATTCTTGGGAGGCAGTTGCCAAGATTCTCTCTGAAGGAGAAGAGTCTGATAAAAGGAAGCCTAGACTTCATTGGCATCAATCACTATGGAACTCTCTATGCCAAGGACTGCTCCCTTTCTGCTTGTCCTTTAGGAACAGATCGTCCAATAAGAGGCTATGTGGAAACAACTGGAACAAGAGATGGCATTCCAATTGGTGATGAGGTGTACCCTTATGTACTCCACCTGCTCTTATCATTATGTTATACTAGATATACATACACCTGTGAATTGCTTATAATATTGTCTAGGATCATCCTTCTCACTCTTGTACGAATTTGGAGATTAATCACCTAAGGTCGCACATTAGATTACCATTGAACATATAGCATAGCAAAAGTTTGGAACAAAATTGTTTACCCATATTTTGGTAAAGGGTTAGGTATTAAATAACACAAATATAATTATTCTACATTTGATTTAAGAAAAGATCACGGAAATCACTAATGAAGAGAAGATGGCTGTGATAAAAATTTAACTTTTTGTTACGCAATAAATCATAAAAATACAATATATTTGATAACAAAAATGTTCATACATTAACTAATTAAAAATTACATAGATTAAGAATGACAATAGTCAGTGATATAATTTACATTGTCATTTAAGAGTAAGAAAAAACATTATCCTTACATTTTAATCAAATTAACTGCCATAGTCTGTGATATAATTTCATTTGTTTTTAGCAGACGGGAATGCCGAAGTTCTTTGTGGTTCCAAGTGGCATGGAGAAGATTGTAGACTACATGAAGACAAGATACCATAATATGCCCATGTATATTACAGAAAATGGTGAGTGAACATATTGATTAAATAATGACAAATTTATTTTCTTTTCATTTCTTTTACACATAATAATTATAAAATTTTTATTTTGTTTTCACTTTATTTGTCATTTTCAAATGGTTGTATAGGAAAACAAAAACAACTTTGAAAACAAATTAAAATAAAATGAGTAGTATTGTTTATGAGTAGTATTGTTTATGATTATTTGTGACAATATGCGACGAAAACAAAAAAGTTGTTTCCAAACTAAATATGTTCGTAGATGTTATTAGTTTTATGAAAAAATATTAGCATATTCTCTACAATTGGTTGATAATTACAAATTGCAATAGATTCTACTATTTAATCAATAATTTAAGAGTGGTAGAAAGAGATTATTTGAGAGTGACATATAGATTATTCTTGTTTTAATGTTGTTTTATCAATTAATAATTGTTCTGGTATAGAAGACTGTTATTGAAAATATTAGATACTACCTAGGTTCAAAATATTCAATGAATATAATATGTTTGTCTATATTAATAATCGTCCTAGATATATGTGATGACTATTATCTTAGTAATAATTATACCGTATGGTGGCCGATTAGGCCGAACACCCGAACCTGCAAGTAATCGGACCGAACACCCGAACCTGTAGATGGTGAGGCCGATCACCCTAGCCAACCGACTACTTATAAAGAGCGAAACGTATCGGTGTGGTCGACCAATATCAGCGCCCTTGCCAGGCTGGTTACGGATAGTTTAATTAGCGTAATACACTGGATTAGCTTCCTAATTTTTCGGGGTCCAATCCTTAATCACGGCCCAATACGAACACCTATAAATAGAGTCCTAACGAGGTATGTAAGTAACTTTCAACTACCACATTTATTACGTCGAGAACTAACTTGAGCGTCGAGTGGCACCCCCCACCTTGCTTCCGATACTCGGACAAGAACGAGAAGATCAAGACTTAAGACCCGACCCGCTACGACTAAGATAATTGGAGTGTATCCTAACACAGGAATATTTGGCGCTTACCTTGGGGCCGACGTTTTCAGCCCCATTGAACTCTACAATAGAGACCGAGACATGGTAGTTACCTGTAAAGGACAATCAACGACGACACAACTGCTGCTACCGAAGACAATCTCGTCATGACCAACCAAGAACGTTACCCGTATAGAATGCCTCAGACTCAACTGGAACCCGTGATACAACAGGTCCAACCGAAGCCAATTGAGGTCAGCCCGATCTACAGGATGACCTGAAAGTGTTACGCGATGGCGGCCATCCGAAAGCAAAGAGAAGTCGATGCCCGAGAGTTAGCCGAGTTACGTCGACAGAATGCTGAGCTTAGGAATCTGCCTATCACGCCCCGACTGACCAGGTCACTCGAACTCCGGTAACCTCTTTGATAGCCAACAAGGCTGACGCCACCGTCCACTCCCTAAGACACCCTTTCTCGCGGAGGATAATGGAGGCGACTCTCTTGGACCATTGGAAGAATCTCCCGATTGAGAAGTATGACGGAACCACTGACCCTGATGAGCACTTGAACGTATTCCTAATACAGGCGACCCTCTCCACTCAAGACGACTCGGCTTTATGCCGAATATTCCCCACTTCGTTAAAGGGAAGGGCCCTGAGTTGGTTCATGAAATTGCCGAGTTCTTCCATTGACTCGTTCGACGAGTTGTCATCCCAGTTCACTTTACAATTCGCGACGAGCAAGCCGTACAGAACGATCTCGTTAGCTTTAGCGGGGATTCGTTAGGAAAAAAAGGAAAGCTTAAGATGCTTCATGGACCGACTCAACAAGGTCGCCATGGAGATAGGTGATCTTAACCTGGCCGTCGCCCTGGATCGGTTGAGCACCGCCTTGAAACCCGGGCCATTCGTAAATAGCTTGTGTAAGAAACCACCACCTAAGAAACCACCACCTAATATGAATGATCTTGGCCGCCGAGCTGAGAAGTATATGCAAATGGAGGAGCTTGCGGAGACTCGGAACCAGGCTAGAGCCGAGGAGAACCATAGCAGGAAGGAATCAGGCCGAGAGCCAATGAAAAAGACCTATGCCGAACTTGCGAATGCCCGACCCCCAAGAGGACCATGATACACGACGTACACTCCCCTCAACGCGAGTAGGGCTAAGGTATTGGAGCAGGCCCTCGCGTCGGAGATTCTGGTGATGCCGAAAAGAGCAAACACGCCCCCGAGAGCTGACAAGGCAAAAATATGCCGATTCCACCGAAATAGGGGGAAGGACAAACTAGAAGACCTTATCAAGCAAGGTCACCTCGGGAACTTTGTCTCGACCCAAGACGACCAACCAAGAGGAAGAGATCGGTTCCCTCGACGAGCGTCACCACCCAGAGGCCGACACCACCGATCTCGATCAAATGAAAGGAAAGACCACTCACGAAGCTCCCGAGAAAATCACGATCGGCCGAGGAAGATAATAAACACAATAGCTGGAGGCTTTGCTGGGAAGGTTCCACATCCTCTGCAGGGAAAAGACACCTTCGGGCAGTACGATTGTGAACAGTGTGAACCAGTCGAGGACACCGAAGATGCCGCCAATCACTTTCTCAGACCGAGATTTTCGTGGTATAGACCCTGTTCAGGACGTCCCCATGGTGATTTCTGTCGAGATGCACAATTGCATCGTGAAGAAAACATTGGTCGACCAAGGGAGCTCTGCTGACATCTTGTATTGGAACACTTTCGTGCAATTGGGGATCCCCGAGGAGAGCTTAGAGCCATACAATGAACCTCTGGTCGGCTTTTCAGGCGAAAGAGTGATGACGAGGGGATGCATTGACCTATACACCCGCTTTGGTTTCGATCAAAAGTCTTTTCGAGAGGTCAAAATCCGATACATTGTCGTACACGCAAACACGTCATACAACATTCTTTTAGGCCGATCGTCAATCAATGCGTTAGGGGCCATTGTTTTGACGCCTCACCTGTGCATGAAGTTTTCGTCGAGAGATGGGCAGGTGATCACCGAGAGATGGGCAGGTGATCACCGTGCATGCCGACCAAAAAACAGCAAGGGAGTGCTACCTCTCTAGCTTGAAGGTGCAACCCATTGCCAACCCCTCGGCTACAACAAGAGGTGTGAATGTGGTCGGACAAGGAATAATCGAGGATATTGACCTTGATCCTCGGCTAGGAGAAGAGGAGCGGATTGAGGCCGTCGAGGACCTCGTACCTTTTCAGCTTGGTCGACTACCAGAACAAGTCACGCATTTAGGATCCCAATTGAGTGAAATTGATGTAAATCGGGTGAAACGAGTGGTTCGAGACAATAAAGACTTGTTCGCATGGAAGGCAGCAGACATGCCAGGGATAGACCCCAATTTCCTATGTCACCGACTGGCCTGTGCCGAGACGCCTGACCGGTTGCCCAGAAGAAAGGAAGATGGGAGACGAAAAGAGAGAGGCTGCAAATGCCGAGGTGCAGAAATTGTTGCAAGCCAAATTCATCCGAGAAGTCACCTACACCACCTGGCTAGCTAACGTGGTGCTAGTCAAAAAGTCAAATGGCAAGTGGAGAATGTGTATTGACTATACCGACCTCAATAAAGCCTGCCCCAAGGACGGTTACCCACTCCCTTGCATCGACCGACTCGTAGACGGGGCGTCCGGACACTCCATCTTCAGTTTCAGTTTCTTAGACGCGTACTCAGGTTATAATCAAATTAAAATGCACCCGATCGATGAGGAAAAAATAGCGTTTATCATCGAGAACGCCAATTTTTGTTATAAAGTAATGCCGGGGAACCTTCAGAGGTTAATGGACAAGATATTTCAGGGTCAGATCGGCCGAAACATCGAGATTTATGTGGACGACATGGTAGTGAAGTCCAACTCCATGGCGGATCACGTAACCGACTTGGTCGAGATATTTGGAGAATTGCGCAAGCACGATATGAGACTCAACCCCGAGAAGTGCACCTTCGGAGTCAAAGGAGGCAAATTCCTGGGGTTCATGCTGTCATCGAGAGGCATAGAAGCAAATCGAGATAAATGCCAAGCCGTGATAGATATGCGAAGCCCGAGCAACCTAAAGGAATTGCAGCGCCTTTCAGGAAGATTAGTCGCCTTATCCTAATTCCTCCCGCATCTAGGAGACAAAATTAGCCTGATGACAAAGCTCCTGCGAAAGGCCTCGGCCTTTTTTTGGAATGAATCATGCAAAGCCGCCTTCAAGGCGTTGAAAGTAACTTTGGCAACACCACCGATCCTGATGAGACCTGACCCTTCGAGCCCAATTATGATATATCTGGCCGTGTATGACGAGGCGATCAGCTCGGTTTTGGTACAAGAAAAAGAAGGCACCTAAGCTCCCATATATTTTATTAGCTGACTACCGCAAGATCCAGAAACCAGATACCAGTTGATAGAGAAGGTGGCACTCGTTTTAGTGCACACTTCCCGACGTCTACGACATTACTTCCAAAGCCATCGAATACTCGTACACACTGATTGTCCGATTGCTAAGGTACTCGGCAAGCCCGAGCTCGCCGGAAGAATGATGGCTTGGTCAGTAGAGCTCTCCCAATTTGACATCAACTACATACCGAGAGGACCGATCAAATCCCAATGCCTGGCCGATTTTATAAACGAGCTCCGCCCACACGGACACTTTGAAGAGCCTTGGTGGACTCTTCACGTTGACGGTTCCTCAAACAAGCAAGGGAGTGGGGCAGGGGTAATTTTAGAAGGACCGAATGGGATAACCCTGGAGCAATCCCTGCGCTTTTGATTCCAAGCTTCGAACAACCAAGCCGAGTATGAAGCTTTACTAGCCGGGTGCTTTACTAGCCGGGTTGGATTGGCCGAAGACGTGGGAGCATCACGAATCAAGTGCCTAACCGACTCTAAAGTGGTAGCCGAGCAAATAGGTGGCAACTTCTAAGTGAAAGACCACAACATGATGAAATATTACCACACCTATCACAAGTTGAAGACGAATTTTCAAGAGGTATTGATAGAGCACATCCCGAGAGAAGACAACGCCCGAGCCAATCAATTGGCTAGATTGGCCACAACGAAGAAGCCGGGCCAACTC